CACAGCATTCCCACCTCCAACTCCCTCCCGCAAATAACAGACTGGCCTAAAGAAGTCAAAACAATTCTATTTTGCAAGTTGTCATCGTCAGTGACACATTTTGCTCAACATTTCCCCCTGAAGAAAAGTTAGAAGGATCTATAGTCACAGCAGTGTTACCTGTCAAAAGCTGAAACTGTACTTAGAGCCAAAAGCAAGTAGAGAAGACTCTGGAATGGATATGCTAACGTCTTGTATTGTTGCAGAAGGTTGGGGAGGTTAGAAAGCTGATGTCCTGCTAGGACATATATCACAATAATATTCCACACAGCACAGCCAGCCAAGAAGCCATGGGAAAACAGACCCACCATCCTGAATGGAAAAGGGTTTCATTATTACGCATGAATTACTAAGGTCAAAGGCTAAAATACTTTTAAAACCTATTCACATATAAGATTAAAACTCAACATTTCATAAAAAGTAAAATCAAGCATTTTCTTATTTAACAGTGTTGAACAATCAACACTTTTTAAAAAAATTATAGAATATTTGTTTTAAGAAAAGTCCAACAAAGGCAGCCACCTGAAAGCCCGGTGCACGGAGAGGGCGACGTCCCTGGTTGTCCAGGAGGGCTTCGGGCCCATCGACACGTCCGCGTTCTCTGTGGTCTTTATCAACTCTGAACGGTCGGTGGCCTGGAATCGCCCTAAGAGCACATGACACAGTTATCCACCAACAAGAGAGAACCTGCCGGTCTTTCTTTTTAAAAATCACTCCACCCTTAAGAGCCCTTAGAACGAGCGTGTCCACGTGCTTCCTTCTCAAACCAAAAGAGATGTTGAAGTAACAGTTTGGGAAATTGACTACTTTTAATGAAATAAAATAATGAACTTCCAACTAAGAAAAAAAAGTCTAGAAACCTTTAAGATGACAGCGTCTAATACCTTCTCATTTAGAGATTTTAGAAGTGCTGAAGTTTAAATGTCAACACTATAGAGGTACACCACTATCCAAAAACCCTTTACGTTTCTCAGGAAAAGACCCCAGTGTATGTAGGATGGCACATGCTCTGTGATGACAGGAAAGAAATGGATTGTTGCATAAACGTCTAGGAAGATTCCTGTGCAAGTACCAGGTCAAGCGCCAGCCTGCAGCCCTGTGTGAGCAGAACCCTATCCCTTTACTGTTGACCAGGAGGTCCCTTCTCATGTCTACCAGTCACAATGGACCTCAGGCAGCAGGAGAGGTTCCAGCGTAGTCTTGCTTGCCAGACCTGGCTGCCGGGTACATTGGAGAACAAAAGTCAGGGGTTTATTACCTAATTTTTCCTAAGAAAAGACAACTATTGGACAGAAACTAGTATTTTTTACAGTCAGTTACCCTATTAGGGAAGTTTCTGCGCCAAGGGAAGCAAGAATAAAAACAGAGTGACACTGCTTGAAAATAGCCTGCAGTGTGTTAAATAGCCACAGGTCTACCCGTAAAAGCACTTGCCTGGAAGTCATGAGACTCTGAGTCCCAGTCCTGCACTAACGGACTGTGAGACCCTGGATAAGTCAGTCTCTCCAGGTCACAGGTTTCTCACTGGCGAAGGTCCCTTAGATGGGGTATTACACAACCACAATTTAAACAACCTACATAAAACCTAAGCTGTAAATTTTAAGGGCTAGTCTTCATGTTCCAGATGAGTTCTTAGGCAGCACATTGACAGCATATCCATGGGAGGAGCATATGGTCATGACCATGCTCTCAGTAAGTTTTTCTTAAAACACTGCAAATGCAGTCTTGTAACCAGTTCATCAGAACTATTTCCAAAAGAATATATAGTTATATTTCTTATGTAATATGGTGATACCATCCTGTATGTTCTCTCATTTATTCTTCATTAAAGAATTTATATCATTACCTGCCCTACCACCAACACCTCTAACAATTGCAGAAAACTGGTGAAGTACAACGAAGAATAAAGAAATGGGTGGAGGGTAAGGGGAGATTTAAAAAATTATCCAAAATCTCATAACCCAGAAACAACCAGGTCTATTTCCTTCTAGTCTTTTGTCTTGTGAGTGCTATAGTTGAGATCAAACTATCTGTGTATGTATGTTTATTTTTCATTAGAATTTTTCCACGAAATGTAAAATTCTCCCTAAACACTATTTTTAATGATGCAGATTTTATTGTATAGATAAAGCATACCTTCCTGAAATCATTCCCCCGCTTTTTATATTTAGGTTACTTCCTGTTTTTCGCTCCCATGAATAACTGTGTGATGATTAGCTTGGTGTATACATTTTTGTCCATGTTTTTGCTTATTGCCGTAATTCAGATGTCCAGAAGTATAATTCCTAGATCAAAGGATAGCCTTACATACTTTTAAAGAGCTCATATTCCAAACAAGGAACTACTTACGGCTTTTTTCCACAAACACTTTGTCCACAGGCTGGCTAATGCCCGTGGGCGCAGTGAATACAGACTGTTGTTCTGGACTCCTGTGCTCATCAGTAATTATGTCTTCATCTTCTACTCCTAGCTCATTGGCATACTGCAATTCTGCTGGCCGGGCCTTCCTGGGACCAGGGAGAAAGTAAGAAAACTAGGTGCTTACTGAATTTTTACAAACCCACATAAAGAGGTACCTGTGAGTAGAATGAAAAGAGCCCAGGACTTTGAGCAGAGAAATTTGGATTTTACTCAAAACAAATCAGTTATTAACTGCTATGTAGGCCTCAGTTTTATCCTCTGGACAATGAAATGACTGAACTAGATTGTAAGGTTCTTTCCAGACTTAAAATTATATCATTTTATTTATTTTTTTAATATACTTCATTGATTCTCTACGGAGAGGATGGGAGAGAGACAGAGAGTTAGAAACATCGATGAGAGAGAAACACCGATCAGCTGCCTCCTGCACATCCCCCACTGGGGATGTGCCCGCAACCCAGGTACATGCCCTTGACCGCAATCGAACCTGGGACCTTTCAGTTCGCAAGCCGACACTCTATCCACTGAGCCAAACCGGTTTCGGCTTATATCATTTTAAATGGACATTGATATCTATTTATAGGGTCATGTCTAAACACAAATATGTAATAGTGTTATATAATTTCAGGGTGCTTCCTTAAAGTATGTCATTCTATTTTATCTAACACTGAATCCTATGCTAAATTAAACATTATTATTTATTGCTGAAATAATCATAATTTGAATTTTGATAAAATGAGAAAATAAATTACAATAGCCTATTTTATTAATATTACCTTTAATTTTTAATATCTTGAATATGTAATTTTTTGTTATTTATATAAAATCTTCTACTTGTGTTTCTCTTTTTTAGAGACAGTTCCTAAAAATTTTTATTCAAGTACAGCATTTTACTTTTCTCAGTGGTCTACACTTTTCAAATTGTCATTAGATTGGTTTAACTGATATCTTTGTAATACTACTTATCCTAGAGATATACAAGTATTTATCAGATTTCATCGGAAGCTATCATTTGGAAGCTCCAAATTAAGCATCAGAGTGTTCCTTAAGGATATTTAGAAGAACAAATAAATCCTTACTTTGTCTTCCTTCGAGGTTTTTTAATAACGGGCTCCTCAGCTGGCTCCACATCGATTCCATTTTCATTCCGTAATGAAGATGGGCCAGATGTCTCCTGGGTGAAGGCAGTCTCCAATTCTGAAAAAAATAAAATAAAATAAATATTATATAATATTAAATTTTTTAATTACTATAATGTAAAAAGAAAAGTCATGTACAAGACTTTTGTAATACAAGAGAACCTTAAAATTTGTAATTGGGCAACACTGTTTTGCATTTGATTTAAAATTTTTTAGACCTCTAAACACAACAAAATGTTTGACATTGCAATGCCACAAGTATGGGGAAAATTATGTAACCCAACAGCGACACACATGGAAGAATGTGACGACAGGCACAGAATGGCATTACGCCGTCATGAGCCGAGGACTGCGAGGAGCCACCAGGAGCTAGAAGAGACAAAGACGGGTTCTTTCTAGAGCCTGCGGAGGGGGCGTGGCCCTGCACACACCTCGCTCCTGAGCTTCTATCCTCCAGATCTGTCTGAGACTAAATTTCTGTTGTTTTAAGTCCCTCAGTTTGTGGCAATCTGTTAAGACAGCCCTAAAAATTAATGCACATATTTTACAAAATGGGCTCCTCTGATACATCCTATTTTACAACCTTTGTTTCTGACTCAACAATATATTACTGATGGTTTTCCATATCACAACATCACCAAAACAATCCTGTTAATGAGTACTTGGTTTCTATTAAATGGATACCATGTTTTATTTGGGCATTATCACATTGTTAAATGTTTGATATTACCAGTTTCTACTCTTATAATAATGCACTTACCCTCCTTTAATGACTGTAGCTATTGTAGTTACTTCTACTCCTATAAGTTTGAACAGGTTATACCATTTTATACTCCTATCAGCAGTGTATGAGGGTACCCTTTTCTCATTAACAGTTTCGTATTTTATAAATTTTTAAAAGCATTGCCAATTTGATAGGCAAAATAAATGATATAGTCTTGTCTACCTTGTGAACAGTCCCTGAGACACAGAAAAACGCAATAAATGTTAGCTGTTGCTATATTATTGTTAACAGAGAATCTATCCCTCCCCCACTAATCTTAAATATCTGTTTCATCATATACTAAATTCTTCTACACATCAAAATCCAAACTTTCTATTTTAGTCCTGAATTTGTACCACTTCCCTCATAATCTACACACATAGAATCAAAAGAGACCCTCTAAAGTGTTCTTGACTTAACCCATTAGAGCAACTCTAGTGATAAAAAATGTAAGCAAGCAGGAAAAATAAAGGGATATGGGAGGGGAATGGGGACATACACCCAAAATCACAACCTAACCTGGTTGCTTTTACATACCAAGAGGCACCCTTGTCTTCTGTCTTCTTTGAGCAGGAGCTTCTGGATGCTCTGTGAGTTCTTTAGTTGGTGGCTCACTGCTCTCAGATGGTCTGTGAATAGCAGTCTGAACAAGACCTTCCAAAGAAGCACTTGCTACAGAAATAGGGTGGGGAAAAAAAGGGATAATTTGAACAGAGACCACTGAGTCGTAAAAAAAGGGAACTGGAATGTTTCCTATGTAATAACCCCTTCTCCTACAGAACCAATCTTGATTTCCTTTCTCCTCCCTTGTAACTCTGAATTTTAAGTTGAGAAAAGAAATAAAGGAAGGAACAAGGGATAATGAAGAAGAAAAAAGGGGGGCTGTTAGGAAGAAGAAGAACAAAAAGGAGAGGAGAATTTGCTTCAGAATTTCCATTTTCACAATAAGGTAATAACATAACGGAAGCTGTCACCCCAGCGAACTCTCTTATTTGTCTTATGCCTTAAGAATTTTCAGCTCCTATATAGTTTAGTACTTCACTAGTAAATTAACACCTGATAACATCACCTTGGATAAATGGGTTAACAGATAAATTATGAATCTTTTTCTTTGGCCATTCATTTCAATCTCTCCCGTCATCAAGTCTTTGAACAGAATCTGACACATTTCAGCATATTTGAATTTTACTTGACTATATTCCCATGCCCATCTTCTTCACAAAAGAACAAATATGTACGTATTAATAAACAAATAAAAATATGCTTAACCTCATTAGTATTCAGATAAATAAAAAACTAAAATAAGCACTTTTGCCCACTAGATTGACAAAATTTAAAAGACTGATATTGTCTAATGTTGTCAAGGATTTAGCAAATGCCTAAAGCTTCCATAAAGGCAATTTAGCAGAATCTTATCATATTACTAATGCACACAGGTCCTTTGTCTAGCAATTTCACTGCTAGCAATCCATCCTCCAGAAATAGCTCTTCTTCCCCACCATCCATTATTTCAGAATTGCAAAATTGTGGAAGTGAAAAATTTGAAATAACCTAAATGAACAGCTTTAATAAACGCCTAGCAATGCATCCCCTTTTTTGCCTAGAGCACCGAATCTTCGTTTTCTCTTCTGTACAAGGAAGCGCTGGTAGCCACACCTCTGCTCCAACTGTCTTAGCTGTTTCCTCCACTCGTTACCTTCCTGAGTGCAGATGTACATGTCTGTATTTAACTGTGAGTGAATTATTAGAGCCTGACATTTCAGTATCTTTGCAAATCCAAGTCTCTTTGAATCTCTTTTCTTTTTTTGTCTGTGTCTACATGTCTTTTTCTCTTTCTCTGCGTCCATCTCCATGTCTTTCTTTTTCCCCATCTATCCCTCCATTTGTTAGACAATCGATGATAAGTGAAAAGACGTTTCTGACCGAGTGAGAGGTATGACCAGCTAGGAGCTTTAAGAAGCTCCCCCAGCAGCGCTGGGCAGGACCTGAGTGAAAGAAAGCGAGCAGCACAATGTCGGAGGCTAATCCATAGCTCAGAAGAGGAAAGGGGCTAAATGGCCTACAGTTGTGACAGTGGAAACGAAAGGGGAAAGAGACACAGAAATGTCAGAAAAGAAGCAAGTAAATAGAGCAAAGGGACCAGTTAGCAGTGACCCTGAGGCTTCCAGCCTGAGTGACTGACTGGGAGAGTGGTGGGTTCCATTAACAGAAATTTGTGAGAAGTAAAAATTGATTTATTGTTGAAGGTGATGAATTCTGAGGTGCGAGTCTGAGCTACTGACAGAGCATCCGGGATTAACTAAACAAAAAGGAGTTCATAGAACTTGCTCATTACTGGGGCTTTAATACCTGCCTCAGTCTCATGCTCTAACATAGATATCCTTGGGTTAAAATGAGAGACCCAATCCCTAGCTGGTTTGGCTCAGTGGATAGAGCATCAGCCTGTGGACTGAAAGGTCCCAGGTTCGATTCCAGTCAAGGGCACACATGCCTGGGTTGTGGCTCGATCCCCGGTTGGGGGTGTGCAGGAGGCAGCCGATCAATGATTCTCTCTGATCATTGATGTTTCTATCTCTCTCTCCCTCTCCCTTCCTCTCTGAAATCAATAAATATATATTTTAAAATATATATTTAAAATGAGAGATCCAAGAACTCCGTGTCTCTAAATCCAGTAACCTGTTCAAGGGTCTGGAACCAATCATAGCTTAAGATAACTTATGTTGTCCAGGGATGAAGGACCTCCAAGAGTCCAAGAACGTAGTGGAAGTGAGAGTGTTGGTGACACAACCCTTTATTTTATGAATCCTTCTAGGCACTCTTCAGGCTGCTCACTGCCGGTCCCTCGCTGCCACCAGGAGTCCCACTGCTTCAAGGTGACCTCAACACAGCAGTGACGCGGCACTGCTGGGACCTGTCTCTCCCTGATCTGATGTTTATCGTGCCCCAGGTCCTGGGAAAACCTGTGGTTCCACACAACAAAGAGCAGCTTCTTACCTAGCATGGTTTTCGTTCTCGGCTTCTTTTTCTTGGGACGACTAAGTGGAACATCATCTATAAAACAAAAAGAACAGAATAGGCTGCCTACAATTCTATGCAGGGAACAGTTTTTTCAAAAGGGCACTTGTATTAGGGGAAGACCTTTCCCTCTCTTTTTTGGGTCCAGCCAACACCTACACATGAAGGGAAAGAAGGTAAAAAACTGACAAAGTCAAAGAGAGCCCACAGTGTTGTACTAAACAGCCATGGGCAAACTACGGCCCGCGGGCCGAATCCGGCCCATTTGAAATGAATAAAACTAAAAAAAAAAAAAAGATCGTACCCTTTTATGTAATGATGTTTACTTTGAATTTATATTAGTTCACACAAACACTCCATCCATGCTTTTGTTCCGGCCCTCCGGTCCAGTTTAAGAACCCATTGTGGCCCTCGAGTCAAAACGTTTACCGACCCCTGTACTAAGAGCTCACTGCTGGTCAGCAATGTCAGGAACAGGGACACAGAAAGTGTGCTCACCAAGTATTCAGCTGATCCCCAACTTAGGCCTGTGACTGGTTCTGGTCAATAGACTATGAGAGATGCGATCTGTGTCATTTGGAGGCCAGAACACTGAAAGAGCCAGTGAGAAGCCCTCCAGCTTTCTCTTCCCTTGACAACTGAGGAGACCTCATGTTGAGATGGCAAAACCACAGGACAGAAGTAGACTGAATCACTACCTCATTAGTGAAGAGGCAGTGAAAGGCAAATGCCCTGATTGGTTGCCACAATGGACTTTGCATTAACCAGATATAACCTTATATGATATTAAGTCACTGAGATTTTGGGATTGTGTAGCATAACCCAGTCCATCCTGACTAAATGAGACAAAGGAAAATGCAGTCCCTAATACAGAATAATAACTAGCTATGAGCTATGATTAGGGTGACTCCATACAGGAATGAATGCTTTTGTATTTATAAGGTCAAATACCAACCATATAACTAGTGTTATTTATCAACCATCACTTAAAAATGGCAGCCATAGATTATTATGATAAAGATACTGTATTATTATAAATTTTACCACCCAGTTTCAATTTTAAGAGAAACATTAACAAATTAAACTTTTGAAAATTAAATACCATATTTAGAAAATTTTACATTAACAGTGAACTCACCTTGAACAGCACTTTACATGACACCGACCAAATTTAATCAGGACAAAGACAAAAAAAAGAAACTCTATTAATTAGAAATCTATAACACTGTCAAACTGAAAACTGACTTAAATCATTACAAATTTAAAATAAAAATAGTTTTCACACAAAGTTTGCTTATTTACAAACTAGCTTATTTACAAATAATAAACTAGTAAACCTGCTAATAAAATAACCCCAATATTTTCTGAATCTCCATATCCACACCCCCTTCTATCTATTAATAAAGTAGATTAAACAGATTAAGAGCTCTTACTCGGTCACTGACTAAAATCAGCTTAAATTCTGAGGAAAGTATTCTAGCAAACAAAAGGCGGCCAGGATTCTGCTAAACAGGACACTAAAACATTCAGAATAGATCCATTATCCTCCCGTGTTTACAGTCAGGCTTTGAAACAGAACATTTCATTGTAACTGTTACCCTAATGATTTAGGGATTTTTCACCTTGAAACTGTTAAGAAGCCTTCTCTTAAAAATATCAAGAAATCTTTCTTGCATTATGATGGATTTGCAATGGTGGTCAATTTTTCACTTTATTCGTTTTGCACTTTTAGAACCCCGAAATAAAAGTACTGTACTTTTACCTTGGCACAGGTGGGAGGGCTCGTGGAGGACGCTATGGGAAAAGAAGAAAATTACTCATAAGTAAAAGCCTAGAGCAGCTTGACTTCCCATATTTCAAATCTTTTGATTACTGTTCACCAGTGAAAGCCAGGAGGTACTGATGAGAACCAAATGGGCAATACTTAAATTTCATATAAAACGGCTTCCTCTCTATGTACCTTTTTATCCAGGGGCCAGGCCCTGTTCTAAGTACTAAGAATACATTTATGAACAAAAGGAAGAGACCCAGCTTTCACGGAACTTGACATTCAAAAATCTCTCAGGTATCCGAACTGAGACTGACTGGGAAAGGAGCCTACATTTTTGACAAAAGGGAAGCAAATACAAAAGCCTTGGGGACTATAGGGCTTAGAGGGTCCCAGGTAAAAGGCAGTAAGGCTGCAGCAGGAACCATGGAGAGGTGGGCAGAGGCCAGATAATCAGGGTCCTGAAGATGGAGGGGAGGAATCTAGATTTTGTTTTAATTCACTAATAGGAAGCCGATGGGCGTTTTAAGCCACATATTCACATACTTTTTTTTTAAAAAGATCCCTCTGAATACAGGAGGAAGGATGCATTTTGGGACAGAAAGAATGGAGGGGAGCCCTTGGAAATGCTGCTTTACATGAATAAGAAGGGCTGCATTTGTAGTTCAGAGAGATTACAGTTAAGAAGCACCCCGGAATTTTGCAAAATACAATGCTAACAGAAATGCCTACATATCAGTTCCGTGTACCAAGAACATCGCTTGCAGAGACCATCGCTTCCAAAGGGTTCGCACTCAGACCGCTGCCGTTCATTCTGCAGCGACCCGTTGATCAATCCTCTCGTTTAAACTGAGTTCACAGAAATGCCCCCAGACGCGGGCTGGGCCGGCTGCCTTCACACGGCCCCGTCGCTTCTGTTCTAAGGATGCCGCAGAGGCAGAGCGTTCCATCCAAAGTCCCTTCTCACAACCCCACGTTTCAAAAGTCCCGCAACAGTGACACGTCACGCGTCCCAGACCCCAGCTTGCAAGCCTCTCGAAAGTAGGACCGTTCAACCGAATGCAAAAGCCAACAACTCACAGGTAACGGAGGCGCGCCCTCCACCTGCTTCCTCCCCATTCTTCCTAAAGGCCCCCTTCCTCACAGCTCCCCCTTTCTCACACCCCCCTCC